AGTTACATGCCACTGTTGAAGGATTTACTTTAGATTAACTTCCATGACAACATCTAAAACATTAAAAACAAATCTTGTTTCAAAATAACACTATGTTTATCATGTTTTCTGTTCTTTTATATCAGTAAAAATCATTTACACCCAATAAGAAAAGGTTGACATTAGCTCTAAAAAATATGTTCTGTTATTGTTGTGAGATTTTTTTTACTATTTGAAGAAAAGTCTTGCCATTTTATGATTAACAGAGTATAAAGAATTCACCATGACAACACATTAGAATACCCCTTTTAACTTGATGGTTTTCATTCAAAACATATAATTCATACAAGTTATTTTAATTTCTGAATGAAATTCTAACAGGTGCTTTGTTTGTATTATTGTTACCAATCTGTACAAAAGAATATCTAAGCTTTCAGCGTAATAATCCCTCAAATTTACTACTTAGCCACCTGGTGGTTAATAGGTTCAATATTTATTAAAATGGTCTCTTACACAGAAAATATAATATTAATTAGATAAAATAAGATAACATACTTTAGAGCACCGTCACCTACACTTTGGCAACCTCTTAAGCTCAATTTTTTTAGAAAACCGCCACACCTTCTGGAAATATTCTCAACTACAGGGCCCTACATAAGGAGAAAAAAACATGTATAAGGAGAACGCACAGATTTGTTGGAAGTTACCATTAAGTTATTAACTTAATTTTTGCTTTATATTATTTATGCATAGGGATTTACTGGTGCATAACTTGCATTGTAATACTGTTCTACAGTAATCAGTTCTATTTACAAGTAAATACACCCTCCATTCTAGCAGAGAGTACATTCTGCAAATGCATGATTTCTTTTTTCTAAAAGAGACATAATCTACACACAAAAAACACCTACACTCAAAAGTAAATTTGAAAACTGTGACTTCATATAACATTTTTCTTTTGATTGAAACAATAATTAACTGAAAAATAGCTTCTGTGGGTAAAAGAAAAAACAAAAACAAAACCAAACATATGGATCTAGCACAATACTAGTGTTTCAAAATGGGTATTTCTATACAAATAATAGAATGAGCTGTCAGTAAATTAATAAAGCAAGAAAAAACTTATCTGTTCTTAAAAGTATGTTTAAATGTAAACACTTTTCTATCATTATTACATTATAATGTGGTATTATCTTGCTTCCCTTTTAAAATAGAAAACTATTTGGGCTAAAAAACTTCTATGATGAGCTTTAAAAAAATTCTGAGTAATCATTTTAATAGAAATAACAATAAAGTATTCATATAACAATTTCAAAATCATGGAATTTTTTATATTATAACCTTACCTCTATATCAGTTTGGAAATCAAAGAGATCCACTCTTTGCCAATTACTTCCATCTAGAGCTAATACATTCCATGCCTGGAAGATGACAAACATATGAAATCATGATTGTTATCTTGTAATAAATTAGCTACAAGGAAGCACGTACAAACTTTGACTGGTACACTTCAAATAATATATCTTCTATATCATTCCACTTTCTATGTGTTAAAATATTCCAAGTTGCTAACAAAGAAAATATAAGCTTTTATTCCTTGTTTACTACTATTCTTTTGACTAGTACACTTTAAATAATATATCTTCTATATCATTCCACTTTCTATGTGTTAAAATAATCCAAGTTGCTAACAAAGAAAATATAAGCTTTTATTCCTTGTTTACTACTCTTCTGATTAATTATTACTTACTTAGTACAAAGAGTAACATTTCATTTTTAACCTTTCAAAAATTTCAAACTAAACCATTTGATGATTAGACTAGAAAATCCAAGTTATAAAATTATACCATAGAACAAAGAAATTAACGAACAACTATTAGTTTTGAGTCAGTTCATTAAATATTTACTGTATTTAATTACAAGTATTTGAGACTTGTTGAATTGTGTTGGTTTTTTGATTAAGGGTTTTCACAATTTGGGCTAATATATCTAAACATTTATTTGACAAACACCTGTGTGTGTGTGTGTGTCTGTTTACTTATAACCCGTGAACTGCTGGACCAATTGCCACCAAACCTGCTATTATTATTAGGACCCAACAGAGTGACATAGGAGGGGGGAGGCATTTAGATCTGATCCCGTTATGTCACCCCTGCAGCCGCTATATCTTTCATGTATATCAGCTAGTAATGAGAAACGAATCTTGCGTGCTCAAACAATAATTATTTGTTTGTTGTTAAGCACAAAACTACACAATGGGCTATCTGTGTTGTGCCTACAACAGGAATTGAAACCCAATTTTTGGTGTTATAAGCTTTCAGACTTATTCTGAGCTATTAGAGGTAGTCACACAGTAAACTGCTTTGCCTTGGCACATTATTGTGGAAGCGATCTAGTAAAAAACACCATATTCAATCAGCAATTGTTGGCAATATATAAGACAATAACTAAAGATAACTTGTAGTTAATGTTTTACTAGAAATTTAGGTCTGTGATGTATTGTTTTTCAATTTATCAAATTTAAAAGTATTTTTATGTAGATTCTTTTGTAAAAATGTAAATATTTTGTGCAAATACTATAATGATATCAGTTTCAGCATAATTAAGGCCTAATATTTATTGTAATTGTTATGGAATATGTTTCAAAAAGAAGAAACTTCTTTCAGCATTGAGTTTTGTATTCTCCTTGTAGATCATAATGAAGCTATCCTTTACCAAAACTAAGCATACAAGAATATAGGTGAGAAAAATATGGTGGTGTGAAAGTGTACCAAAATATTTAAGTGTAGAGATTTGTATTTCCTTGAACTGTCATTTGGTAAAATCATTAGACACAGAATTTCACAAATTTCTTAGTTAAATGCTGGCTTACCTTGGATACCTGTGCACATCGACACAAGGAAACAACATCAAGATAGGAAAAAATCCTAAAAAATTGGAGATGACAAGATCAGTATTTTCTTATCAATATAAACTTTATGTCTGATACAATGATGATCATTAAATACCTTATGTATATTTGTTACTTCTTCAATCCAACCTAATGACAGAAATGTGTATTTATTTATATATATATATGTATTTAGATTATTAAAATCTAAACCAAAGTACATATCTGTTTATTTCTGAATAAAATACCTCTCTAATAACAGCAGTTTTACTGACAGTCTACTAAGTAGCTCGTATATACTGACCAAGTACTACAGTATTACTGACAGAGTCCATCAATTAATGATATAATCCATTAAGTAACTCAGGTATACTGACCATGTACTACAGTATTATTGATAGAATTAAGTATTTCTGACAATAATATTCTTACAATCTTGTTTTTTGTTAGTTTAATATTTTTATGAAGTTACAAAATCATGCGAGTCAGCAATTTCTATTTTATTTTTAGTTATGATTCTTTTTATTCTTCGTGTAATTTGCCTTCTTTTGTTTGTTAAAGAATATTTTGATTTGGCTTGAACACTAGCTCACATGCCTCCTAGTGTCCTACAGCAACATCTCAATAGTAGAGACAGAATTATGACCAAAGTAGCATGAGCTACCTCGTTCCTCTCAACATAATCCAAGATCAAGTCACAGGAGTTTCTCACACATAACAACTTTTGTGCACAGTTGTTTTCCCTTCCATTCAAAACTACCAACATCTTCAAACGATGCATCATATATTCTCATACTGCACACTTATCCACACATTTATTGGAACATCAAAACTCTTGTCAATTCTTAAATAGAATCTCTGGGATGTAAAGTTTTTTAAACTATGCCAAATGGAAAAGGCATTTGAGAATAAGTAACAAGGAATCTCAAAACGGATGCTCTGGAATCCTGTGCATGGAAGATGCAGCAGTCTACATAATGACATTGACCTTAAGTAAACCAATCAATCCATAGTAAAAATTAACACATGCCTGCCACACACTTCATCAAAAATAGTTGTATTCATTTCAAAAAACATTTTAGCACTTTTACTGCCAGTCAGTGTACTATGTATTAATATAACAGCCCATCACCGTGCGATCATACTATTAAATCGATGAAGAATGCAACTGTCTAGCTTCATCATAAAATTTCCAAGAATGCTGGCAAGATATCCAATGTTGTTTCTGATTAGACTCAAATGAATGGGTATATTTTCACTGTAAAACTGTCAGTTGCAAAGTTCTGCTGCCTGAATGACTTCAGCTCTTCACCTGTGAGTACTGAAATCTTACATCATACGTCCACATTCGTTTTATGGGTTTTAGCAAATTGTCTGTAATTACATCTAAATGAATCATGTTGTTTTCACTGTAGTTAAAAAAACCTGTCAGCTGCAAAATTCTGCTCCAACATCATGCCATGTGATGCACGCTTGGCCAATCACAACAAAGAATTCATGATAAGAGGGTAAAATAAATTTCAATAATTATCTAATTAAAATTGATCATATAAAGCTATTTACATTTTATTTATAATAAATTCCTATACATAAATTGTGATACAAAACTTGATTTTTCAATAAATGTCTTTTTGGACTGTGCTATTACTCAGAAAAACTGAATTAAAATGTTATATCATTTCTTATAACCACCAGTAAATATCATCCAAAGTAGAAAAATGATTTGGCTTTTCATTTTCAAGAAATTTGAAGGTTTTATATTTAAATTTGTAATTGTTTGGAAGTTATAGTGAAAAACAGACTTTGTAAAAACATATTGGTTCCAACTTTAATACATTTTTGCATGTTACAACACTCAATGCAAATCCTAACCAGAGAATGTGGGTAAAACCACACATTTTTACAATAAAACACACGGGAAACCCCTGCAGTAATTAGTGAAATTAACTACAATATTAATGGTATTTTATTTAATTTGTTTATTTTTTTGAGTTGTATATCATTAAGGACCTTTTAACCAACAGAGTCATGTACCACAAAAACTTGGTCCATAAATAGTTATGAAAAAACATATTTAAAAAGCTGACAGGGTCAAGTTTGATTGAAATCTTTTATTTACAGGTCAAAGACAACTACACTACAAACACCTCTCTTCATACATATTTTTCTTCTTTTTTAATAGCCACTGTATCACTATATCATACAAGCTTTGGCATTACAACTTCTCATTTTGTAGGACAAAACATCTGGTTTGTTTGTTTTTGAATTTCATGAAAAACTACACGAGGGCTATCTGTGCTAGCCGTCCCTAATTTAGCAGTGAAAGACTAGAGGGAAGGCAGCTAGTCATCACCACCCACCGCCAACTCTTGGGCTACTCTTTCACCAACAAATAGTGGAATTGACCATCACATTATAACACTCCCATGACTAAAACGGCAAGCACGTTTGGTGGGATGGAGATTCGAACACGTAATCCTCAGATTGTGAGTCAAGTGCCCTAACCACCTGGCCATGCCAGGCCCAAAATTTTGTAAAATTGTACAGTATCATACCTTCTTGATCAGCCATCTACATGTAATTATATATACATATAATACATTAAAATACTGTTAATATCATACATTCATGGTTACAAAGCTAAGCATTTTGATGCATAACTGCAAAAACCAGAATGTAGTATTAAAGCTCAAAAGTATTTTACTGAACCATGCACACCATTAGGTATATATTTTTTCCAAACTACTTACAATTTCTTAAGAGTATTTATGATCTTCTGCAGACAAAATTAAAAGCTACCTGAGCAGAAGTTCTTTGGGTAGCTTCTTGTTAATCAGTGCCTCATCCTCAGGAATGGTTCTTGCTACCTGTACATAGTAAACACACACTAAGTTTCTGTTCCTAACAACAATAACAGGTATTCAGTTTGAGCTTTCTCATTTGTATAAAAATTACACCATATATATATATATATATTTAGTTATGAAATATATGTTCACATTTTTTAACTGTAACATCTGAAGGTCTGTACATACACACTTGTATATGTATTGGTAATCCTTGTTTGCTATATATGAGCTTGGACAATATGTTGTAAGGATCGTTTCTGCTGTTTCATTTCTATTAGTATTTTAACTTACAACGACTCTGTGTGTCTACATTAAATTATGATAATGCAATTAATTATACCCATAAGCTTGGTCTCTTTCGTTTTGGGGAAGGGGGGGGGGGGTGCTAGTGATTAGTATTATGGAATGTGAGCCCGAGGGTCCATGGTTTGCATCCTATTGCCACAAAATCACACTCTGCAATTTGAGGTTGTGAGTGTGTTATAACACTGATGGTTAAATCCCATTCTTCCATTAGAGTATTCCAAGTTGGCAGAGAGTGAAATCTATCACAAAATGAGCTACTCAGTACAATCTAGCATATCCATGTCACAAGATCTAATCTGATTTACATATTATAACTCATCTTATTTCTGGTTAGTGGTATGGTTGAAACTCATGAAAAGCTTCACAATTTCAACGTTTCTCTGTAAAATATGTTTGTATAAACCCACCCGATAACTTATTAACTAAAAATATAAGGTATGAATAAAACCATGTATACAGATGTAGAAAAATTTATGAGAGTAGTGTTCTTTTGATTCTAGAAAATCAACTGGTGCTATTCAGTTTCTTGATCAGCCCCCCCTGAGGTTAACTCCAGATGATAAATAACGTATCAAAAGAATATACTGTAAAGCCAATAAAAAATGTAATAAAGAAACTTGATCAACTTCAATGAAGTGTGCTTTATAGTTCATATGTTTGTGATATGTAAGCATATCATGCATTTTCTTCAATCTTAGTTACCAGATATATATATATATATATATATTACACTGGTTAAGGGAACTACTAAGTTTCTTTTGTCTTGGTTATTCACATGATTGGTTGCCAAGGTCGTCACTTGTATTCTCCATTAGAGGAGATCACTGTAGCATGAACAAAGCTATATGCAGAAATAGTGGTATGCTCTGGCAGCGAACCATAGAGTAAAAGTGTCACACCCCTTTGTTGACACGAGTGACTCTCAGCTATGTGGATGCCACAAGCACTTATAGAGAAAGAGAGAGAAAACTATGTATATATGACTTTGATTCTTTGTTTAAGAGAAATTACTGATAGAATATGAGATTGAAAGTTGCATTATAGATTCCTAACAATCTTACCGAGATTGCTAGACTTATAGCAATTTTCATATTTCTGCAATACCACCATTTTTGCTATGGATTACATTGCATTGTGTCCTCCACCTAGTTGAGCAAGTCAAGTTAAAACAACACTTAGACAAGTACTTGTGTGTTGATTGTTCTCCACCTAGTCGAGCACACACAAGTACTTGTCTAAGTGTTGTTTTAACTTGACTTTGATTGTTCTCCATCTAGTCGAGCACACACAAGTACTTGTCTAAGTGTTGTTTTAACTTGACTTTGATTGTGTCCTACACCTAGTCGAGCACACACAAGTACTTGTCTAAGTGTTTTTTAACTTGTTTTTGATTGTGTTGGTAATAAAGATTGTGATTATTTGCAAACCTATGTCCAGTCTCTTTCTATTTATAAGACTCAGTCAAAAGCAGAGAAAATATAAGAACTGCCCTGTGATATGGTATCTGATGAATCCTCTTGTTTTTGCAGTTTGTGCAGGCTACTCTGAGTAAATTCAAGGAAATCTGAGAATACCATAATACTTACCCTACTATGAAAAAACAAACAAACTGTAAGCAGCCAGTACATAAAAACAATAAACATTGAATATAAAAGTAACAATTAGAGCTATAAAAATTAGCCAGTATATAAAAACAATAAACACTGAATATAAAAGTAACAATTAGAGCTATTAAAATTAGCCAGTATATAAAAACAATAAACATTGAATATAAAAGTAACAATTAGAACTAATACAATTGCAGAAAACTTCAGTAATAATACCAAAAAAGCACTGGTTCATTATAATGCACATGAAGAACAAGTGTCCAGAGTACACTCGATCCCAACCCATCTAGCCCTAGAATTAACATGCTGGTAACTTCACATGAAATTTAAGTGTGATTACAAGAGAAAACAACAATGTTCAGCAGCAGCACAGAACTGAAGTTCTTGAATAAAAAACTTTAAACTGAGTAGTATATTTACTTTCTTCAATCACCTTCTGCAGAACTCTAACCTACGGCTTATCAAAGATAGGAAGGTATTAATATGAGCTCCAATTATAAAATATCATGAATGTAAAGAAAACTAAGCAGATAAACTTAGAAATACCAGTGGCCTTTTCTAAAAAGTGTAAAACATATTCTCAATATTTTAAAGAAAGTAACAGTGTGAACTAATAACCCAAAAGTATGACCAATGTAATTTCTCTTTCAAATTTCTTTATGGAAGTATTCAACATTTATTTCGATACTATCAGTTGATATTCCAATTAAACACAGTTTTATGGCCAATAAACCAACTGCCAGTGCATACGTTAATTAATCAGCAGATCCCAAGTTATGGGCATTGCAATAACCTTCCTTAGTATCTAATAACTGTACAAACAAAAAATAGAACTCATTCAGAGAATAACTTGTTTAGTATCATATAACACACAGAGATAGAAATTAGCCCTATTTATGATTCAATATTACCTTGCTTAGCACAAAATGTGATGAAATGTTTATTACACTAAATATACAACCTAAATTTTTGTAGTTTGTACAGTCCTCTTCGTAGTGGTCTATTTGGTGATAATAAAACATGTTTTTAAGGAGTAAGACCTAAGTTACACTTTTGTGAAATTTTAGAATAAGGTCTTATTTTCATTTTGGAGAATACAGACATATTTTGGATTTAAAAATATATTTGTGGAGCAGACCGAGTGTGGAAAGACAATGTACAGACCATTTTCATGGTTAAGAACTCAAAGAAATACTACATGTAAAACCAAAATTTTTTTTCTAAAAAATAAATAGTGTTTTAAAATCTCTTCCCATTATTCAAGCAATTTGATGCAGTAATGGTTTTGTAGATGTCACATACCACAGACAGTGTGCTGGTGCAGTATTGGTTTTGTAGACGTCACATACCACAGACAGTGTGCTGGTGCAGTATTGGTTTTGTAGACGTCACATACCACAGACAGTGTGCTGGTGCAGTATTGGTTTTGTAGACGTCACATACCACAG